GAAGTCATTCATCAAGGGTCGCAAGGTCCGCGATCCTCCGCCTCCGATTTTAACAGGATATCAGATTTATGTTCGTGTTCGAAACATCCCTTCTGCCATTGACGAGCCTCTTGAGTATCCAGATGGATATCGTATTTATCATAAGTGGACAAAGAAAAGCATTTTCTGGGATTTGCCATATTGGAAGGATCTTCTGATTAGGCATAATTTGGATGTAATGCATATTGAGAAAAATGTTTTCGATAACATTTTCAACACGGTTATGAACTTCAAGGGAAAGACTAAGGATGGCCTTTCATCAAGGAAAGATGTAGCTTTGTTTTGTGATAGACCGAAAATTGCTATGGGCCCTGAGTATGTTGGTCCATTCAAGAAAGCAATTTATCAGCTCACGGACGAGCAGAAGAAATGCATATTGGAGTGGCTGATCATGCTACGATTCCCTGATGGATACACTTCTAACTTTAAAAGATGTGTTGACTTAGAAAAATTGGTAATGAAGAGCATGAAGAGTCATGACTGCCATGTGATGATGCAGCGCCTCCTTCCAAGTGCATTGAAGGGAAATCTCCCAGATAATGTGTGGACATCTATTTGTGATGTTTCTCAATTATTTCAGTTATTATGCTCACCGGTGCTAGACATACAGGCAATTTAGGATCTTCACCGTAATGTTCCCACTATTTTTGTGCAATTTGGAAAAGATCTTTCCTCCATCCTTTTTCGATGGAATGTAGCATCTACTTGTCCATCTTCCATTTGAATCAATGACCGCAGGGCTAAGTTGGTATAGATGGATGTACGGATTTGAGAGGTAAAATTAATATGCATTTTCCCAATGGTTTCATACATTGTTTATTTTAGTATAAATAATCTTTTAATATTGTCCTGAAATGTCTTAGGTTTTTGCGAGAGCTGAAAAAGAAGGTGACAAATAAAGCACACGTTGGAGCATCTATATGCCAAGCATACCTCACAGATGAAGTGTCCACATTCTCTTCCTTCTATTTTGAAAGAGATATCATGACTAAGCAAAAAAGGCCTGTCGGAAATGATAATGTTGATTCAGCATTGTATGATCAAATGGTTTCCATCTTCAACTATCCAGGCAAAGGATATGGTAGAAGGACACACCGTCGTGTTGTCGGAGACGAGTTTCGAATTGCACAAACGTACATTCTGATCAACTGCCCGGAAGTTATTCTGTATTACAAGTAAGTCAATATTAACAGACATCGTAATCAGTTATTTTCCACACTAACAAACACTCTAACCATTTCATTTTCTTATAAAAAATGTAGTGATTATAGACAAATGCTTTCTCAAGCTGGTTATTCCAATGAGGTCATTGATGCGACAATCGACACTGATTTTGTAGGATGGTTCAAATCTACGGTAAATCAATAAGTTTTTGTAGTTGCAAGTTTACATTTTATAGTATTCGTTATTAAAGAAGTAAATGACATCTGCAGATACTCAGTGAAGCTAAAATTTCTCCCGTTGATCCTTTATTGGAGTCATTAGCATGGGGTCCTGAAACACTTGTGAGGTGTTGGTCTATATATTTTGTCAATGGCTACAAATATCATACACGGGCTTACGGAGACAATAACCCACTATGAACAGTGATGTGAGCGTGTCGACTTGTAGTTATGACAACTCAGAGACTAGTTTTTTTGGATATGTGGATGAAATACTGGAAATGAAATTCCTTAGCCACAAGTTATCGTGTGTATTATTCAAATGCACTTTGGTGGTTCCAGTGAGGGGGGTGAAAAAGGATCACAAACATAACTTGGTGGATGTTAATCACAGGCGTGTGTATCCGAAAAATGAACCTTTCATAGTAGCTCAACAGGCTGCCCAGGTGTATTACGCGGAATATCCGTCGACACGGATCAATCGCACTGGCTGGGTAAGTGCATGCACTATTAGACCGAGAAAAGTTGTTTCTCACGCGGTACAAAAAAACATTGATATTGATGTTTACCAACAAGAGTTTTTCCAAGCCCCAATTCCAGACATTATTGAGGAGGATATCTTTTTGAAAGATTCTTCTGGAGCAAAAATTGAGCTTGACCCCAATGACGCCAACGATGGTCCGAACGAGGGAACTGAATATGAAGAAGAAGAATGGAACTTTCAAACGGAAGATACTGATGGTGATGATGAGTATGTTGACCGGATTGACTCCGACGAAGAAGAAGAAGAATGAATTGCTTTATTTTCATGACTTATTCCAAATCATTGAATTCGTAGTCTAATTTCTTGTGTCATGATTCTCATTTCTAATCTACATTGTTTCCGAGTAATTTTAAAATGCACTTTGGTAGATGTTGGTTTATTTAATGAAATTATATTGTGTCTATTCTAAAATAATTTTAGCAAAGCTTTTTTAATCAAATTAAAATGTTCCTGTTAAAATTTTCGATCTTCTCTAACCTGCTGTAATCCGAATACGTATGCTTTGTATAAAAAAAAATTCCTAGTTAAACAAAAAAAAAAACTATTTCAACTTACATACTAAGACCGATTTTATTATGCAAAAAAGAGGACGTTTTTATTACATTAATATTAGTCAAAACAGTCTAAAATTATTGAAAGATCAAACGATACAAGATAATAAAAATCACAGAATCAAACGATTTATGATAATATTAGTACATAATAAACGATACACCAATTTGAATCTTCAAACTGCCTTGCTACCATGATCTTCAATTTTAGCCTCAGTTTCACTTCCGTTTTTTAGTAACTTTTTTATTTTCTCGGCTGCAACATCATCAACAAGCTTCATATATTTAATTATTTCTCCGATAGTATCAATTTTTTTCCCCAACGCATCAAAATAACATCCCCATATTTTTTTCTCACTTGACCCTTCTGATTTTTCCATAATATATCTCTTTCTAATTTCACACTTTCTAATTTTTTGGACACAATTATGTATATTTTCCCTTATAAGACATATTTATAGTACAAGTTCAACAGCTGGCTAGGATTTGGGTGGGATATTTCCGTCTCACATGCCGTAATTCCGTTGTAATGTACGTCATTGGCACGGACATGGCCCTCCCAAATCCGAGCCACAATACGTCTGACATAATAATTACTGACCGCATAGAGTAACAGATGCCTTTTCAGTTTGGTACGGATAATTCCGTGCCCTATCCTTCTCAAATTTCAAATTTATTATCTCCGCCGCTCTTTTCTTGTTTTCTGCGCAATTGGGACAGATATATCCGAGCCATCGCAGCCCCAAACGCGAAGATTAATCCGGATTAATCTAGAACGTCGTTGGCATCAGTATTGTGTCAGAAAATGCCGTGCCTATTCAAATTCAAATTAATTAACCCCACCGTTTTTTTTAATTTTTGCGCGCATTTGGGACGGATATTTCCGTCGCATGCCGGTGCCAACACCGCCCAGATATGTGAATACTCTAGAACGGGTGTGGCTCTCTGTTTGCGACGGATAAATCCGAGCCAATAATACTGGAAGTATATAACCTGTCCTTAGCAGATTTCGCCCAAACCCTAGCCCATTACTTCAATTCTTCCTCCCCCTCTCCGCCTCTTGTTCTTCCGCCCAGTACGAACTCCGGCCACCACTTACCTTCCTCCCCCTCCACTCCCACAACGAACTCCGGCCACAACATACTCTCCCACCACGAAGTCCGGCCACCATTACTTACCCTCCATCTCCCACCACAAAGTCCGGTAACCACTGACTCTGCTTCCCCCTCTATCTTCCACGACTTACTCCGTCCACCACTTACTCCGGCCACATCATAGTCCGTCCAGCACGAGGCTTTCACCGATGACGCTTGGCTCCATTCAAGCCCCCTCCCCCTCCTGCATGCCGTGTTTGTAGCCATCTCCGGCCACGACGACGTTTGCTTCTCCCTCACAGGCCATCGTCTTCGCTCTGTATCCAGGTCATGTCCCCTTAAAATACTCCTTGTTTACGGTTTTTCATATTAATTTTATTTAAGCGTATTGTTATTTTAAGTTTAATATAAAGTCGTTATTTATAAAAAAAATTCAAAAAATTTAGTTTGTAAATGATTTTTATAAACTATTTATAAAGTATTATCATCTATATAAAATTATGACATTGGGATTTCTATAGTATTAAAGTGAGTTGTTTTTTTAATTAGAAACGAAGTATTATTAACAATAGAAATCATAACAGTTGTATTTATAATTAGAAACGAACTATTATATATTTTTGTTTATATATTTTTATTAGAAACGAACTATTATAATGAACTGAAAAATATGACAGTGGTAGTTATGAAATATTTATAAATTTATATTAAAGAAGTGTTTATAAATTAATATTATGAACGAAGTATTATAAATATGATAGTGATATTTATAAATATTATAAATTTATATTATAAACGAAGTGGTATAATGAGTTGTTTATAATTTTTTTTATTACAAACGAAGTATTGTAATCATGTTGTCCATGCAGTATCATAAACTTCGTTTTTATTAACGAAGTATATAAATTCCGAACTCTTATATACCTCTGAGTGCCGAACTCTAAAATTAACTATAAATAATGTTAAACCAAATATAATAATTATGAAAGCAGTAAAACCGTATATACATGATATAGGATTATAAGTTGGTAATTAATCCGGGGGTTTGACAATCTGTATATTACTTCCTTTCATAACTAGGTGTAACAATCTGTTTATATTATTAATTCTATACTTCTATTTTGTAATTATTTGGTTATAACCTAACTGTTTCACTAGTCTCTTTTTATTAATTTGTTATGCGTTTCAATAGAATGTCTGCCCGTAAAGGTTCATTCACTTCGTTTACTTCCTCCCGCGGAGGTCGGGGTGATGGAGGTAGCCCACACATAGTCCGGAATGACCAGTACTCTCCTGTAGCTGATTCGCATGAGTCTGTTCAATTCTGACACCTTTCTGATGATCAGCCAAATGGTCTTGATTCCTCAACCGCTGATGAATTTGTTCCGAAGAAGACCTTCATTTCACCCTTTGAAATGAGAAGGTAAAGAGTAATACTGCATTATTTTATTCAATATAAATAATTTTTATCTATACATTACTAATATGTGCTTTTATGATGTAGTAATCCTACTGTCCTCAACAACATCATTTCAATTCTGACTAACAATTTTCACGGGCCATGGTGTTCTTATGTGAATGCGGATGCTGATCAACGCAACCATTGCTGGAAACTGTTTCAGGTATGTGGGACGTACTTACACTTAGTTTTTCTTTGACAGATTGTGATCTATTTTGCTGATGAACTTCTTTTTGAGTTTTCAAAGGAAGTATGAGTGGGATGTCTGCTTTAATACCAAAATAAAGAAGAAGTTCAAGTCTCGGGTCTCTGAATGGCTGAGCAAAAACATTGGTAAAGCTAGGCGGGACAACAAGAAGCCGGACTGGATTGGTGAAGGAGATTGGAAGCTGTTGCTAGAGTATTGGTCCTCTGGTGCGTTTAAGAAGAAAAGTCGTGCTGGAAAGAAGAACAGAAATTCTAAAGCAGGGAAAGAGTCACAGTATCGCCGTGGAAGGATACCGGTGACTGCACATGTTGAAAGGCTGGTAAGATTTATTTTATAAATTTAAAAAAAAATCAAAGAGTTGTTAACCTATAATGAACTGTGTACTGTTTAAATTCGTAGACGAAGGAGTTGAATAGGCCCCCGTTGAAGATTGAGGTGTTTGACAAGGTGTATGTCCCGAAATCTGGTGGCCCCCAACATGTGTAGTTGAAACGAAGGTATATATCAGTTTGTTTTCATACAATTATATATCAGTTTGTTTTCATACAATTATATTATAGTATGAGTATATTTGAACCCCCTGTTTTCTGATTGTGCAACAAAAATACAATGAAATGAAAGCCCAGGCTGAGTCTCAAGGGAAATCGTACGAAAAGGATGATTCTGAGATGTTTTGCACGGTGGTGCCAGTGTACAAAGGTAGGCGGTTTGGGACAGGATCTAAAGCCGAAGCGCTGTCGGACGTTGAATGTTCTAGCCGGATATCGGGGCCGACTCAGCAAGAAATTGATGCACACATCACGGACCAGCTGGAAGCCCGATTTGCGGAGCAGGAAAAGCAGTGGCAAACCCAAATGGTGAACATGACCTCCTTGTTTACGGCGTACATGGAACAAGTGCGAAGTGTGAACCCTTCCGTCCCGTTGCCTGATTTCTCGGATTTTCGTACCCCGACCTCTGCCCAAATGAACATGCTCCATGACTCGAATGAAGTGCGACTGGAAGATATATTTGTGTGATGAAAAAACAATTTTAATTTCTGTACTGGTTCTGGACATCTTGTGGCAATTTACTTGCCATTTTTACTTCTGTTTTGGCAGTGGTTTATCTGCCTGAAATGTAATAATTTCGTATTCTTTACATTTGGTTTTATTTACTGTTTTATTTGGCTAGACTGTTTATAATGTTCTCTATATTGCATATTTGCATGTGTTCTATATGAATGTGTGCTTTTAATGTTGTTTTGTTTCTAACGATGCAGGGAAAAAATGTACACCGTACATATGTATGGAATACCGTACATATGCACGGTGCACTTTTTTTTTTTGTAAATTCATTTGGCACGGATTTGGCCATACCAACCTTCCTGGTAGAATGGTGATATCTGTTGAAGGTTTGGCGCGGCCATTATCCGAGTTAACAAAACGGGTTTTGGTTTGGCCGACCCGACAATAGCCGTTCCAAAATCCCTGCCAATTCAAATCCGAGACAAAGTATTTGGGTCCTGTAAAGTATGTCGTGAATATTTCCGCTCCCAAATCCGAGACAAGGGTTGGCACGAATATTTAATGCCGTGCCAACTCGTTTGGCACGAGCCAGGTGCGACGGATCCATGATCCGTGTCAAATCCGTGCTAACAGCGATAGTCTGGGATTTTTATGAAGTGATCCGAGCCACAATCTGAGCCACAATAATTCCACTACATCATTTTGATTGGTCCATGTGGACAAAAGTATGGTATCTTAAGAGTACCATAGAATCTACCTTGAAAATATAGCTAATAAACTTTTTATACCAAACAAGGTCATAGTCTCGATATATAAATGCTTAACACTATAATTTGTGTATAAAATTCAATTCTGAATAACCATATATACGTATCTTCTCCAGCATCACTAACTTTTAAATGTAAATCTGGTTAACTATTTAATTTCCTCACTCATTCATGCTTTCTATATAATCCGATTTTCATGATCCTTACCTATAAATTATTGTCACATATATAGTTCTTCTAGAAATAATATCACAACGTTTAAATTACTTCAATCATCATCATCATCTTCATTAAATAATTAATCTGATATATTATGGTTCTCTTGTATTGCACATTTAGTTTTCTCCAATTCGTTGTGTCATTTAGAAGTAAAAACGTTTTGAAATTTCAAAATAAGAGTATCATGTTTTTTATTCCTTGAATAGGACTAATCTGCCAAGTTTGAGAAAAAATGTCATGTTTAAAAGCCTTGTAATGCCAAACTTGGCACAAATTTACTCGTATTCAGGGAATAAAAAATATGATACTCATATTTTGGAATTTCAAAACGTTTTTACTCCTATTTAAGGAATTCTCTCATACAAAAATACGAGTTTGGCTGTACGAGACAAATGGCAATTATCTGAGATAATAGAAAAAAGAAAGAGATATTACCCAAAATGGGACTAAAAAAGTTTGAAAATTCCAAAATAGGACTTCCATGTTTTTATTCCCAAAATAGGACTAATTACTGCCATGTTTTGGCAGTACCAGACTTCAAACATGGCAATATTTTCCAAATTTGGCAGTAATTAATCCTATTTTGGAAATAAAAACATGACAGTCCTATTTTGGAATTTTCGAACTTTTTTAGTCCCATTTCGGGAACTTTCCCAAAAAGAAATTGGTTAAGTCTTTTGGCCTGGAAAGGAAGTAATATCATTTTGATTCTAAAGGACTCGACGTTGTTACGTAATTTGTGGTTTTCACTTTGAAAATATAGCTAGCATAAATAAAGAATGACCTCAAATATTTTTATTAACATTTTGAAGTTTCATCTTATATACTACGGAGTATATAATAATTCCATATTTAACCGATTTTTCTCTAGAAGATACTTATAATTAAAAAGTTTGAAAAAACAGGAGAGTAAATTTTGAAAAAACACAATAATTTTGAAAAAACAGGAGAGTAAATTTCTTGTATTATAATTTTGTCACGGTAAATAATGAGACTTAAAATGGTTTACAAAAATATAATTAGTTACTAGAGTAGTAATGAAATCATGTTCAAGTTTTGAACTTTAGTTACCACAGCACTACGTTGTAGTAATGAATAGTCATATTTATGTAAATAAATTTTATTTTAGTAATATTCTTATAAAAAACCAAATGTATCTTTAATTTCCATTCATATCGATCATGTCTACTCCATTTAAATGTATTTTTAATGAGTTATTACTATTCGCTAATAATCGCAAGTGTGTAAATGATTCCAAATAGCATATCAACTCTATATCAAATCTAATCTTATCTTATCTCCACATGTATGCAATTGGATTTATTAGCAATTTATCACTTTAGACAATTACATTTTTTGATGTGAAAGAAATACTTTATATAGTACTATTACATACCGGTATATACGAAGTATTATTATTTTAATGATTAAAACATACGTAGAAGGTGACATGATTATTAATAAAAGTGATTAATAGGATTAATATTTCCCGAAATAACTTCCTGATTTCGGACTTAGGAAGTTAGGACTTAGTATGAGTAATTTTAGTATTTACTCTGTTCCCGAAATAACTTCCTGATTTGATTTACATACATACTACCTCTGTCTCCTAAGTTTGGGACAAAAGAAGGTGACACGATTATTAATAAAAGTGAGTTTATATGGTTGATATTGAATTGATAAAATAAGAATAAAGCAGGAATGATTTAGTCACACATAAACTTTACCAAATAAGGTATGAGACAATTTTAGTTGGACAGACCAAAAAAGTAAAATGAGACAATCATAGCGGGACATAGGGAGTATTAAGGAAATAAATTTATCAGGGGTAAATTTTACTGTTTTGACACTGTTTCAGCACTGTTTGACACTATTTTGCACTGTTTTGATGTAGATAATTTGTCATTTAAGGAAATGGGAAGTTAAATTAGGGACATCTAAATAAGGAAAGTTGGAAGTTGTTTCAGAGATGGAAGAAGTACTGCTTTAGCCAAAATAAACTAATTTTATTAGAATAATCGCAATTGAATACTCCGTATGAAACAATAATTGAATAGCTCGAAATGAAGAATAATGGCACGGGATCGTGTGTCCCCCTTTACAAGAGCTACTATTCGTATATATCTCCCTATAATATAAAGGGTGGAAGGAAGTTAGTTTCGTCCTATTCCGTTACTACAGACCCAGACGGTTTCCCAAAGGATTGACGCCGTGTGTTGCTCTCCCTACAAAATTGAGTGCGGGATGTTTTTCCCCATCTCATTTCCCATTTCACTCTCTCCCCCATGTCTAGCTAGGGTTGTGAGGAGTTTCAGTCGCCGAGTATCAAGCTGCCATAACCACCGATCGCGTCCATTATTCAGTTCACCTGTATGATGTTAGAGCCCTAAACTCCATTGTAAAACTTCTGGGAAATCCTATTCGTATAGATACCCCGACTGCAAATTCCCCCCCGACTTTCTACTGCTAGGCTATGTGTTGAACTTGATGTATCCCAAGAGAAGAAACAACAGAAGAAATGGTGGAGCTGAATGTCAGATGCGTGGTAAGCCCTATCAGGAGTGGCATTTGGCTTGCTGGTAAGGTCACTTCCACATATAAAGTACTACTTGACTAATTTTTCAATATATTTTGAGTGGCATATGGATTATAGATATTGATGAATGCATATGTACATTGTATTTTTCTTGGGGGGCCTCGACCCCTTCAGCTCTCTCTGCCTTCAGTTCAGATAAAACAAAAATAGATTGGTATGGTATATGACTCATAGAGATACTCTTAATTAGCATAGTAAAGTCCATAATAATACATGATGTAGGCTGAAGTAAAGTAGTAATACATAGTTCAGACAAATTATACAGTGATTTTAATGATAAGAAATGTAAGTAGAGTTGAAACAAAACAAAAATATCACAGATGGCTCCATACTTCTTCCAAGGGTCACAGGAGATACATGCTTGCACAAATAGTGAATCTGGTTATCAAAGAAATTAAATTAGAGGAGCTGACAGGGAACCACTCTGGTATTAAGTGCTATAGAATTTTGACAAACTGGACTAAGATTTTCTAACACTATAACTATATACGGAGTATATATAAGGGTATATGTCTGAGAGACCGTGATGCACACTTATCATTATCACCAGTGGATTTCATCTGTGCTTGCTCTTGCAGATTTACAATTTGTTCGATGCTCAGTCTGTGATCTCGATACGTGTGATGGTAAGCTAAGTCTGTTAAGGTGTTTTCATTGTCTGAAATCATATACATATATATCTGTTCCCTATGATTTTAACTATACAATGGAAGCTAAGAGTATAATATATTGGATATGTTCATACATTTTATATGGATGCAGGAACAATGGAGACATTAGATGCAAGACACGTTGAGCTGTTCCTGAGTGAGGGGTACCAGGATGGAAGCCGGAATTATGAGTTGCTGCCGCTGGAGACCCATTAGGTGAAGAAGAGAGCAGATGGAGCAACTGCTGCAATTTTTTATATCAGGCATCTCAAGGATTGCATCACCCAAAGTCAGTTTTACTGAACTCATTTATAATTCACGATTACACTCACATATGTTCAGTTGATCAATGCTCAAAATTTTAGATTCTAAAATAAATAAAAATGCCATGCTCGATTGCTTTATGTACAGTGGTTCTTGATTTTGACTCATGGAAGGGGAAACCAAATGATTGGCAGCCTAAATCTGTTGAAGCCCCCCATGTAGTAGCAGTCAACACCAAACTACAGCCAAATGAAGGTAATAAATTCAACTTTTCTGGTTAATAAAATTATGCAAGGACGTGTTTGTGCTTTGCTTAAATTTAAAGCATGTTTTTGAGTGGTTAATGTCGATCTGACGACTTCCAGGTCTTCAAGTGAAATACCATGGTATTAAAGAGCCAGACTCCATACAGGTTACTACTCTTGTATCTTTATTTTCAGCTCGGGGGATGAACCCGAGCTTTGTTTTGAACTCAAAATACACTTGGTTAGGTTTTCAGCTCAAACTTAACACCTCAAGCTACTTGGATTTGTGTTTTTTTCAAGGTAATCCTAAACCAAGTATGATTCCTTTTCTTATGATCTGTTTTATTTGGATTTAATCTGTGATATGAAACACACTTTTTTTGTATGTACATAATGTTAGAATGATCTCTGAAGTCTTGTACTCCCTCCGCCCCCCTAACTTTGTCCCATTTTACCTTTTCCGTTCGTCCCATTAAGTTTGTCCCATACCATATTTGGCAATATTTGGGTGGTTACAATTCATTCTTAATTTATTCACACTTCAATTCAACAACAACCACACAATTCCACTTTTTCTTAAAATTTGTGCCACACTTCTTTGTCCCAAACATAGTGGGACGGAGTAGTATTTATTTTAAGATAATTTCAGGAAGAATATGTATTATGTATGTATTCTATACGAACTGACCATTACATATCTATTCCTTACAGTTATTTGGATTCTTACTCCACATATTACGATGTCCCTAACAACTACTACTTCCATAGTGCCGAGTTAATTAGTTTGGGGAGTTCCTGGGTTCATTTTCCGAACTGGAAGTTTGAAAAAAGAGTTTTCCGTATTAATAATGTCACTTGCTCCACTTATTAAAAAACTCCTGCTCCCCCTAAAGTACTGAAATGTTTTTTCTGAATTGGAGTTATGCTTGCTTACTGATGTTATGCTCTCTAAAGTTTGTAAGTTTACTAATGTTTTGTTTGTTGCATAGTAGGAACATAAGAAACTGTTGTGATTGTTCTTTTCAACATGATCTTTTTTGGTGCTCCTGGGGGTGGCAGAGGCTTTGCAGAATTTGAAACTCTGACTCTTGGGTCTCTGCCACCAACTCTGCAAGGTTTGCTGAATGATTAATCATTTTCTAAATTGATTTTCTTCTAACTGAAATTTGGAAATAAAAATGATCAAGAAATCTTACTGTATTTATTAAAGTCCTCGGTACATATTGAATGATGATATCCTATTTCTATTACCCCAGTACATTTTTATTTTTCCAGTGGCATATGTTTATTACATAGGAAGTTTAGGCATTCAGTTTTCTCTTGTATTATAAGTTTACTTCAATCTCTAAATACTTACGGTTCCCTTCCTTTCCAGGTATGAAGGTTTATCTTAATGATGAAAAAGAGTTAATCTTGGAGCCATCATTCAAATGAGCAAGTGATCCTAATATTACTTTACTTGTTAAAGCGTTTGGATTAAAAGCAACTGCCCAGGTTTTGCAATTGTCATGAATACGAGTGCTTGATTTTTTGTTAACTCTTGATAAACAACTAACCGATTGCTGGATTTTTCAGCTTGTAGAGTTTTAGATCCAAAGTCACGTGTATTTGCCAATCGATCTATCAGTTTCTTCTTTGTGACGATCAATAGCTTAACTCCTACTTAAGTTTGAGTATGGTCTTGAATCAAATATATGGTCTTGGATAAATTCAAAACAGATTATGTAATCTGTAATTAGATTTATTAGATAACTATGTGTCTATTCATTACTCGGGTGGTTTTTTTTTTGAAATTGTGAGACTTGAATCGATCAAATATGTTTGATGGAACAAATGAACAATAGGCTTTAGTAACATTTAGAGTTTGCTGCTCTTGGGAGCTTAAATCCCTATTGGAGATTATCCATATTGGGCACGGACCTTCGCGCGGAGCGCGTGCCATGCTAGTATATATATATACACCTAGTCTAGAGCTATACAAGGAATGGGAATCATTACCATTAAAGTCGGTAATAATAGTATAATGATAATATATACTACCTTCATCCCACTAAGATGGAGATAAGAGAAGGTGACACGATTATTAAGAAAAGTGATTTGTGTGATTGATATTAAATTTATAAAATAATAATAAAGTAAGAATGATTTAGAGCCACACAAATTTTTACCAAATTTGGTATGTGACAATTTTAGTGGGACTTCCCAAAAATGTAAAATGGGACAATCTTAACGGGACGGAGTGAGTAGTAAGTAGTATATGAAGATGGAAAAGTCCTTGTACGATGCATGAGATCTGATCTTCCCATGTATGCCTCAATTAATTAAGGAAAGTAGGAACCTTCTCCCACAAATTGAGTATGAGCAGTGAATATATATGATAATAGACATTTTGGACATGACAGTGAATGAATGCATTAAAAAAAATTGTTGTGCAGTGATTATGATCAATATTGCATTAACACAGATCAGTAATATCTTCATGAAATGCATTATAATTAATTAGGCATAAAATAATAAAATTATTAAATCTAAAAAACAAAAACAAAAACTAAAAAATAAATTCTTCAAGTGAATGAGAAGAAAATTAATTTTGACGAAAGTGCAGTGATTATTACCGAATGTGCAGTAAATTCATGCATTAATGTCATGCAGTAACGGCAATACAAAGTGCAATAATTTTAATTGGACAAAATTAGTGCAAAATGCACATATTTTAAATAAGGATATTTTCGTCATTCAACCTTTCGATAAAAACGAGATTTATTTTTTTTCTTGGATTTCCGGTCATATAAAAGTCTAAAAACTAGTTAGGTCATAGATTGTAAAATTCATTGAGTTTTAGTCATATCCTAGTAAATTTCCCCAATTGTTTTTTTTCCATCCTCAAATCAACTACTCAACACAATTAGTCAATAATGAAGTTGGTGGGTCAATGCGAGGTTTGGAATTGATATATTTTGCTTCAATTCAACATTACTATTTTAATTTTATTAAAATATGAAAATTTATTGGGATATTACTAATTAAATATAATCAATTTTCCTAAATGTGACTACTGATATTAATATGGATAAACAACCAAAAATAAAAAATATTCACTGCTTTCGTGCGTTAATATCGACTACTCCCTCCGTCCCATTTATTTTGTCCCGTTTTACCTTTTCGGAAAGTCCCACTTATATTGTCTCATACCATATTTGGCAAAGTTTGTGTGGCTCTAAGAGCATCCCTAATGGGATAGTGGATGGGAGTAATGTCTATCCTACGTGGCATAGGAGAGAGATAGAGATACAATGATTATTTTAATTTAATATGAAGAAAGTGGTGTGTATGAGAAATGAAAAGGAAGAGAGAGATAGGAGTAAATTGTAGATAATGTCTATGACAATGTCCACAAATAGACTTTACACGGGAATCGATGAGTGAATGTGGATGAAAAGTGGGTTAAAAGTGATATAGAAAAATGAAAAATAAAATAAATGTGAAGATATGTAGGTCCTACATATAAAATTTGTGAGATAAAAAATGGGGCCATGTGTAAGAGTGTGTAAAGAAAAAGTAGACATCCCCATTGGGGATGCTCTAAATCATTCTTACTTTATTCTTACTTTATCAATTAATATCAACCACACAAACCCACTTTTCTTAATAATCGTGTCACCCTCTTCCGGGACAATATAAATGGGACGGAGGGAGTATATTAATGACTAGGGTCAATGCCCTTCATAATGACTTTTTCTCTTATTTCCAATATCACATTACTTTCATCCAATTTAATGCCCACCATATTCATTGATGCAACTGTTTTCATATCATTTTATTGCTCTTATTGCAAACATCATTGCACTTCAATCCAACTCACTTTTCTTCTCACATATTTCACTACCCTTGGCCAACTTTACTTCATTTTGTATGTGATACGTCCTTTCACTTCCCAATTTCACTGCTAGCAAAGATTATACTGAATTCTCATGCATGACCCAAGGAGAAGGAAAAGAAATGAAAAGAAAGTATACCATTAAAAGAGCTGTGAGAGTGGAGCGGTGAACCGTACTAGAGAGAAGAAAAGGAGAAAGTGAGGAATCCCGTTGAAGAGAAAGAGATTAAGGTTATAATAAGTTGAACTCCTTTATTTATTAATCAAATGTATTTATAAATATGATCGAACAGATATTATTTTTTGAAAATAACTATTAACATTATATCGGAAAATGAACCGTTTTAGTTGTACACGTACTTATATGACAATTTCTCTTATTAATATCATGAACACGAAGATCCTACTCGATTCCGATAAAAAAATCAACATATGAGCGTCTTCTTTATTATTTCTTACGAAGTTGTTGTTTGTGTACGCACCTAATGTCCGACTACTCCGATGTGTACAAGAAGCAAAATCCTAGTATTTTTATACATGAAAAGACAATCTCGAAAGCGCCCCAAATGGGTTACACGAACAAAAAGTAATCTAAAACAAACAACTATCCTTTTGTTGTCGGTCAACTATTCTTTCTCTGCTGCGGCATCTAATTCGTATGACTCTTTCCTAGAACTACTTCTTATCCTCAAAAGTCCATACAACTTTCGGACCTCTTTTATCCCTTCTTTTCCGTAACTGCCCGATTCCTCCTTGGTCCGGCCCGACCCGCTGTGGCTCAGCCTCCGGGTGTGCCGGGCAGCAGCCCTCTCTTCGCTGTTGTTATGCAACGCAGAGAGGACCGACTTCAAGGCCCGGTTCGGAGAACTCCGGTTCGAAATCATGAGTTCCCCGATCTCGGCCGGGCTCAGACTCGCCCCGGTTTGCAAAATGTCTTCTACCTGAGAGAAGAGCTTGTGATCCTTTAAACCCAAGTGGCTGCTAGCTAAGCTCTTGAAAGCGTTGAAATCGCACAGGGGGAAGTACACGTGGACGTCTACTCTTCCCGGCCGCAGAACCGTCGGATCAATTTGATCCTTTCCGTTCATCGTGAACACCATGACTCGTTCTTCGCCGCAGCAGGAGAAGATTCCGTCCATGAAGTTGAGGATCCCCGAAAACGTCGGGCCCGTTGATTTCCCGAGCAGATGACGGTCCAGATCTTCGATCACGATCAGAGATTTGCTCTTCGTCTGCAATAGAAGCATTTTGAGGTCGGTGTCGTCGGAGACTCGGGATAGATCGACGTCGTAGACGTCGTAGCAGAGGAATTTCGCCATGGCGGCGGTGAAGGTGGACTTTCCGGTACCGGAAGGGCCGTAGAGCAGGTAGCTCCTCTTCCAGAGACGGCCGAGCCTGTGGTAGTACTGCTTGGATTTGAGAAACGTTTCCAAATCGGATTTGACCTTGTTTTTGAGATCCGAATCCATCACCACCGTGTCAATCGTCGCGGGATGCGTCAGCGCCACCGATCTCCACCGCCCGCACTTCTCCATATCCTTATCGATGTTCATGTACAGCCTCACCTCCTTCCTCCGCTGCTCAATTTCATCGAACACCGAGAGAATATGCTGAAGATATGATCGAAGAATCCGGCGCTTATCGTTTCTGCGGATTTTCAATACCAACGATTTCATCTCGCTCTCCTCGTTCGTCCAGCAAACCCTAGCGCCCAAAAACGTGTCGACCACGACCTGCTTCGAATCGAGAACGACGTTGATCTCGTTCGATTTCCCGCCGGAAAACAGGTTTGTGAAATCGGAATCTTCAACGCCGGGCAAGGAACTGAGATAAGTAGACACTTTCCGGTACAGCTGATTTTCCTGCATATTCTGGTTGAACTCCGGCACCTTATAGAACTGGTGCTCATAGCACTTGTCCTCCAGAACTCGAAACCATTTCTTCAACAGAAACAGCAGAGAAGATTTCGACGCGAAAGGCAGAACAAAAAATGCAGCGACGATCGCCAATAAGATCACAACAAACATGATTTGATTTGAGTCAAGAGAAACAGGAAAAGCTATGAAACGAAATTATTGATTCTCAAGGAGCTGGAAAAATCATTGCAGATGGAAGGAAGAAGTATGATGATTCTTAATCAAGATGGCGGTGGAATCATCAGCAACCTGTTCGCACCACATAAACAGAGAGGAAAGCGGGGTTTCCTCCCTTTTTATATAATTTTTTATGATTATTATTTTCCTAATTGGGGAATAATGAATGGGAATTAGATACGGGAAGAATTTATGGGTATTTGAAAGAGTTGTTCGGTGTCTGGCTTGACTTATTAATAAGAAGAGAAGAGGTACGGCACGGCGTTGTTAGGTTTTAAATGGTCAAATTTTGGAATGGTCTCGTTCCAAAATTTGTCTGCGGGCCGAATTTGTCTGACTAAAAACTATTTTTACTGCGTATATATACACAATTTTTACTTATAAACTTATAGGGCACTACGTCATCAAAAACGACTTGATTTTCATTTTTTTTTTCTGAAAAGGATAAATTATGCGTAGTACATAGGAGACTATAATATGGCCTGACCCCAGCAGCCTCACATCGACTAGATTTTCCATCTCACGTGCTTCTAAATTAAATTAAATATACTCCGTATACCCGGATGATCCTAGTGGCCTCACAGTTAAATACGGAGCATATAATATTTGATGAAAATATGTAAAGATTTGATTGAAACATATACGATTCGAGAATATTCTTGATTCTATAAGATTTGGTTTTACTTGAAGGATATTAACACATTACTCCGGAGTACTCCATTACTCCGTATTATAGCTCGAAATAGGAATTTTTTATTTCATACGGAGTACTTTTTTTCGTTGAAAGGTAAATATATACTACCTGACTGATTGTCAAAAATATATATCCAAAGAATATCCCCTCGTAAGCTTAAGCATCATAGAACGAATTGCCTAAGCATCTAATCAAAGAGTTTAAACATTACATCTCATTAGTAAAGAAGTAAAAAACTTTGTGCATTTTTTCTCATAACACCATACCAACAAAGAAGTATCTAGTATATCAAGGCTTTCCATTCTTCCCCTAAGAAAAGCAGTTCTTTCATCCTTTCCAATAGCTTTCCAATAGCAAGGAACCCCAAAAACTTTAGCAAAAGATCACCACAGAACTTCTGCCAAGGAAATCCTATCCCTTTGCTAACCCAATTGTTGAAGCATATTAATTGGATAAAGTTTAAACATGATTTTATTTACCAATAGTCTAATTTGCTAAAAAATCTTACTTGTTGATATCACCTTGTTAGCAAACAATGTTTCATTCCTAGCTTTCCAAATCAAATACACCGTGCACAGTAAGGATAGTCGCACCCCTTTGCTTTTCATCTTCGCCCCGCTATAGTCCCTCTTGCACATCTTCACAACACTTAGCGGTGTCGTGGTCTTTCTCTTTAGATTTAGCCAAACACCTACTTTTCCCCACACCAAGCTAGAAAAGTGGCATTGGAAAAATAGATGGGAGACTGAATCCAAATGGGCTTTGCAGAAACAACAAGCTCTATCCATATCCATGAACAATATATTCTCACAAGTAGGGAGTCTATTTCTCATACCAAACCACATAATGAAAGAATATTTAGCTAGGATATACCTTTTCCCAATGAGGTGCATCCAAGGCTTACTTGGACCTTTAATCCTGTGTGCATCATAAACCTTTCCTGCAGCAAGTTTTCCTTGAAAGCAGATTGATTCCATTTGGTGAATAGCAGCATCAGTACCTCCCATGCTTTCTACAAGTTGCTCTCTAACCTTTAAAAGCTTAATAACCAAATTGGACACCCCAAAAGATGATGTCCATTCCCATATATTTCTGCCTTTAAGATACACTGTATGGACCCACTTTACCCATAATGTGTCCTTCTTCATGTGAATACTCCACATGGTATTTGCCAACAATGCTGAATTCCAGAGTTTGCAATCCTTCAGGCTTGATCCCCCCTCTTTCTTTGGTTTACACACATTCACCCAAGCCACTTTAGCGTTAGAACCTCCCCAAAGGAACCGCCATTGGAATGGGAAATGATTGGAGCCAATAAGATTGGACGCCCTGGATAACTGTCTTGATAAGCTCTAATTTGCCAGCTCATACACTTTGTTTTCCATATGGAGAAAAACCCTTGAATCTTTTCAATCATTGGGGATGATTGAACAGCATATACCCTAAGAGGGGCCTAGGGTATCCCTAAATACCTTACTGGGAATTGGCCTTCACGGAATCCAACTACATTCAGAATAGTTTCCTTTGCTTATCCATTAATACCGGCAAGAAAAAATATTAGACCTGTTTATATTGATGGCAAGACCTGTCACCTTATGAAACTTTTCCATACACCTCAAAAATGTCATAATAGATGGGAGATCCCCTCTAGAAAACAACATAAGATCATCCGCAAAAAGAAGGTGTGATATTCGCATTTCATCACACTTGGGATGAAACTTAAAACATGATTGAGATGTCTCCAAAGTGAGCATTCTGGATAGGTATTCCATGCACAAGAGAAAGAGTGTAGGTGACAGTGGATCCCCTTGTCTTAGTCCACTTCTCCCTCTAAAGAAACCATAAAGTCCTCCATTGACTGACACAAAAAATGTAGGTGTTGAGAGGCATTCCCAGATCCAGCCCATAAATTTAGGTGGGAACCCAAATTCAACCAAGGTATCTTTAAGAAACTCCAAACTAATAGTGTCATATGCTTTCCTTAGATCAATCTTTATGAGGCGTCTAGGTGAAATCGTTTTCCTGGAATACCCTCTGACTAACTCTTGAGCCAGAAAAATGTTATCTGTAATCTCCTGGCCCTCCACAAAGGCACTTTGAGCTTGATTGACTGGATCAGCCAGTAACGGTCTCATCCTATCTGAGAGAATCTTGGTTATAGTTTTGTAGATCACATTAGTGCAGGAGATGGGTCTGAAGTCGGCAGCAGATGGATTGTGTGAACTCTTCGGGATCAAGGCAATGCTAGTATGATTTATTTGCTTTAGAAGTTTTCCATGTGTGAAGAATTCTAGTACTGCATTAGTGAAATCATTTCCCATACAAGCCCAGTTCTGCTGAAAAAATCCAGATGAGAAACCATCTGGTCCCGGAGCTTTGTCCTCCTCAATATCAAACAAGACATTTTTTATTTCATCAATTGTAATGGGTGCCACTAATTTTTTTTCCCCTGACTGATTAATAACACTCCCTCCTTTTATGATGTTACTGTCCAGCGATATACTCTGTGATGATTTACCTAATAGCTCTATTTTCTTTTGGACCGTTTTCAGTCCCAGACCAAATCAGATCAGGCTTAAACAGACCAGATCATACCAGACCAGACTTAAACAGACCAGACCAGACCAGACTTCTATAGTTATAAAATACACAAAGATCAGACGTCTGCCAGACCAGACCCATTCAGACTAGACCAGACCAGACTTAAACAGACCAGATCATTCCAGCAAATTTCAGTCCAAAAGAAAACATCCTGAGAGTCACTGAAGACTGAAGAGGGTGGAATGAAACAGTGAAAATAGTTATGGGACAAATTAATATTATTTTTACATATTTTTAAATTACTCAATAATCTCCCTGCACATAAGCATTGAATATATACAGCTTGATCTACTGGTGAGGGGTGATTATTTAACAAACAACTTGTGACTTTGTGAGTAGGCCTGGACTCGGGCCGGGCGGCCCGACCCGGAACCGGCCCGGCCCGGCCACTGTAGCAACCGGCCCGGCCCGGTGGCCCGGTCCACCGGCGGTTCGGGTCGAACCGGCCCGGTGGTTCCCGGTTCCGGTTCCGGGCCCGGGCCTTCCATATGGTGAACCGGCCCGGCCGGTTCGGGCCCGGTCCGGGCCCGGTCCGGGCCCGGTCCGGGCCCGGTCCGGGCCGGGCCGGATTTTAATTTTTTTTTTTTTTGAAAATTTTTTTAAATCTTGGGTTGGAATAGGTATTTTGGGCCATTTGAGGTGGTTTGGGGTTGAGGGGGAGGGGTAGGGGATTAAATAGGAGAACAAAAAAAAAATTGGGCCGGTTAGGCCCGGCCCGGCCCGGTTTGGCCCGGAACCGGAACCGGCCACCGGCCACCGGCGGTTCGGGCCCGGGCCTCCCCTTTCCTGGCCCGAGGCCCGGCCGGGCCCAGGCCCGAACCGGGCCCGAACCGGCCCGAGTCCAGGCCTAATGTGAGTAAGATGTGTCGTATGCTAGCTTATTTTATTATACATACTTATATTCCAAGACTATTAATGGCAATATCATTTATAGCAGGTTTTGAGGGGAGGGCAGGTCACCTTTTAACCCCAAAGGCCCAAAGACCCAATATACATTTAGGATCGGGTATGATTGATGCTTTAAAATTAGATAGCTTACTCAGTTTATAATATAAAAACTCAAACAAACAAATATTTTGTTAAATTTGAATAATGCTTAAAGATTTCTTATCATTTTTTCTTTATAAACAAAAGTATCCTATACAGTATTATTCTTCCTGTTTCCTTTCCCCGATATTTTCGGTATACCAAACAGCCCCACCCTACAGATTACAGTCTCTTAAGTCTTAAGGTATATAACTAGTCTTTATTGCTTGCTAGTACAAAGAAACACAGTGCCTCATCAAAAGCACAATATCACTGTTGAGATTACATTAGCCGAATACTCATAAAGAGAACAATTGATTGACAACAGAATTCAGTCGCACGTTTTCTTAGCTAATGCTTAGAGCTTTGAAGCAGCTCCCTTATCCAAAAACCAGACCAGTTCCCCTTCAGGTGAAACCATTTGCACAGGCAAGGAAATGGGATTTTTACTGCCACCTCCCAATGCTGTATAAACAGCATCTGCCTTGGAAGCCCCTGGTACAACAAGAGCAATGTTTGAAGAAGAGTTGATAACAGGCAACGTGAACGTGATCCTTTCTGGAGGAGGTTTAGGAGAGTCCTCGATGAATGTAACCCACTTCTCTTTCTCCTGGAGAAGCGGGTGACCGGGAAATAGAGAAGCAACATGCCCATCCGGACCCATTCCCAACAGCATTAGATCAAATTGTGGAAAACCGCTAGCCTCAGACATACGCACTATTTTGGTTTTGACCAAATGCTTGAGACGGGTCTCATAATCATCAGCTGCACCTTTAGCAGACAACACGTCATTAATGGCATACACATTATCAGCAGAAATGGATACCTGCAAAAGAAAAGGAAACTCTGTTTGGCTTTTCTCCAAGGTACTGTCTGGTTGCATTTATATTCTACACTTAAATATACTGCGTAGATCAATAAAATGGGAAAATGTAAAAATTAGGACAAGCTCATTGGGATTGAAATTTACTGGTGAGGTCTGTATGATATGATCCTATCTGAACTGTTTTGTTTAAGTAGTCTAGTCTGTTTAGGTCATCTACTAGTCAAGCTGATCTGAATTGGTATGGTAAGATATTATATGTATTATATTATGGTCTTGTTTTTTAAGTTTGAATTGTTCTTATTCATGGTCTGACTTGTGAGTTTTATTCCCTATTTGATTTGCAGTCTTGAGCATATCAGTTTCTATAATAGTTTGCTACCGGAAGTGTTTTCCCACCATTAATTTGACTATATTTGTCTTCTAAATCTTGTTAGAGCAGTTTAGGAGTCAACCAGTATAAACCTTCCATAAATACGTCTAAACCTTAATGGGAACTCCATTGAGAAAATTTGATTTCTTTAACTTCATTTTTCACACCTTTAAACTTTTGGGGTTTGAATTTGCCTTGTGTAATACGTAGTACTATCTATTAAATGCATCTTCATGAACAGATTTGACCCAAAAGGTTGTTGAAGACCTGAGGTCATCAGGTCACCCACTTGATCTTTAACTGATTAAAAAAACATCAAAGTAATATTTCGTCTTATAAATTAAATTTTCGTCTTAAGAAAATGCGACCCACCAGCTCTTATTATATTCCGTAAATCATTTCACTTTAAATGTCAACTAATCATTCACTGTCTTCTTCTTGCCATCTTATAAAATCATTTTCTGCATCTCTTGAGTCTAGAGTCTAGTTGACAACCTGTGTGTACTTTTGACTTTGGCACCATGCACTATTTGGTTCTTTTTTTCTTGGGATTTTAATGCTTCTTTAAATGCTATTTATTCTTACACTTTCCCACAGAATAGATCAGGTCCATCCGGAGGGACATAAGGCGCCGTCCGGCCAAGGCCATCAAAGGCCCTTCCCGGTGGAATGTTTTGATGAAATTTTTTGAGCATGTTCCTCATCAAGTCTAGTTCATCCATACCAAATTTCAGATAAAATTTTTAGCTGAAATTTGGTATGGATGAACTAGACTTCATGAAGAACATGCTCAAAAAAATTCAACAAAAAAACCCACCAGGAAGGGCCCCAAATGGCGACGGCCGCCGTCCCTCCGGCTGGACAGGATCGAGCCTCCACTTTCCCATATGTAAATAGCATTCTCATGCTTGGTGTCAACTTAAATGTCAAGTTTACATCACCATTCCCCCTGTATTGTGTGGCCCTTAAGCTCACGTAACCTCTTAAGCTACTCCACAAATTTAATTTTATTCCTTATCCCAGCATATTACATTGTGGTCCGTTTGACTCTGTAAATTAGCCGGTCTGTAAAAGACTTGACTTTGGTTTCGTTTAATCCCCTCCATCCGATTATATATGGCATTACTTTTCCATTTACCTGCATATATTATCTCTGAAATGAATTTCAAGCACCATCAACTACTATTAAATTCTCTGCAATAACACACGCACACACACCAGAATAGCCTTGTAGTCAAATAGTCAATACTATTACTATGTTTATCCAACCTCTTGTTCCTAAAGTAGATCATTGCCCGCATGTGTTTCACCCCAAAAGGTTTCCAAGTGATTTTTCCATTCCTAAAACCACGTGTGAGCTGTTGAAAATAAGTGTTATAGACGGCAAAACCCAAAATGGTCTCTTCCCAATTCATTTTTTATTCCATGCCCAAATTAAAAATTCTCTGGGAATAGTCTGATGATATCCATCAAAGCCTCATTGATATATAATTTCTACGTTTGTGGTAATACCTCACTACCAGCTCGCACTGCATACAGTGATACAGGTATAGACACAACATAGTGCCCTTATGGCACAACCACTTCTCAACTTATTAACGTAATCAGCTCAATAAGAATTAAGCCAAAACCAACTTATATGACATTGACTAAATACTAAATACAGCTTATAACTTTAAATACAGCTGTCTTTCTTTTCGTTTTGATAAACAACATTTCTATCTTTGTTTAATATCCTCAATACTCACCTACTAAAGGTCTAAAGCTATTACTCCCAACCACACATCATCAGGGAAAACATGAAAGTCAAATGGGAAAATTTTGGCTCATTAAGAAACGTGAAAAGCCAAAACATGAACCTGATGAAGAGATGGAGGGGGTAAAATAAATAATAAAAAGAGTAGCGCATTAGTCAATAGGAGGCTGTTGGACCCGGAATTTGTGAATGGATGAATTAATAAGCAGCTCGGCCCAAAACATGAAGCAAATACATGACGCCCAATCTGGGAGAAGAAGCGGATAAAACTTGTGGACACATCATTGAGGAGATAGAAGTGGCAGCTCCCAACTGTTGGCCGCATGCAATGGAGGAGTAAAAACTGACGGACAGTTAAGACAAGGAGGTAACAAGCTTTTGGTGTATACATAGAGTAGGTCATATTGCTTTAAAGGCACAATCAATTAGATCACGAACACATTTACTCTCTTGTATTCAAGCTCTCTGTCCATCAATATACATGTTATTCTTTATTATTCAATTTATTGAGATTAATTCGTGTACGATCCCTAAATAGGGCTAAAAAACGTGCGTATATTCCAAAATAGGACTGTCATGTTTTTATTCCCAAAATAGGAATAACATGACAATCCTATTTTGGAATTTTCAAACGTATTTACTCCTATTTCGGGAATTCTCCCGTTTATTTTTTGCCTAAAGAGAGGCATACATGAAGAGTAAAACATACTGACTTAGTCTGACTATGAGACTCTGGGCACTGCTTAATCTCAACCCCTTAAAAAGCTTAACTCTTTGGTTATTGTTCGGTTCAAATGGAGGGGATGGGAATTAAGTAGGGTAGATTCCCATCTCCCCCCTTGTTAAGTTAAAACATTCTGTAGGTAGATTGGCTTAATCTTCTTAGTACTCTCTTCCCTTCCACTCAACTCCATTCCGTCCTGGCCTCCTGGAACTAAACAGACACTGGAGACTGACTGAGCATAATGTAAAACGATACAATCATCCACATTTAGATATAACAAGTGTACTAGCAATCATCCACACTAGCCAAAGAATATAGAATAGCAACTTAATCATGGCTGTTTCATTAAAATTCATTTTGGGTTCTTCATGGTACTGTGCACTATCCAAAGACGAATGCTTTGAAATCAGGAAGTGCCACAAGCTGTCCGATTGCTCAGGCGCACGAATTGCAAAGATTTAATCACAATATAATATACCTTTGATAGAAAACCATCATAAGCCAGCAAGTAATTGCTATCGGGATGATTCTTCGGAACTACACGCTCATCCACCCAGAAAATGTGCCATTTCGACCAGTCTACAGAGTCAACATAAGGAGGTTCCAGCAATTTCCTGCAGTTGAAACCCAAACGGTCAGGCATTGATTAGACTTAACAATAATTATAGAAATGATGATAGTAATGAAATGTAGATGCGGGAGAAAGATTAGTGCATTACCCGAGACACTTGATGAGCGACCCACCGGAGAAAACTACGGAAAAGGAATCTCTCTCTTTGCAAATTTTCTCCGATAAATCGGAAGTGTATTTCGCCAAAGACGCCTTTAACTCCTCTTCGGAATCGAACACTTGTACTTTGGCCTTCCTCTCCCCAGTAACAAAATCAGCCATTGATGCTTTCGTGCGAGATCCAAACGGTCTAATACCCTTCTCTGTTAAGGACAAGCTTTTAGTACAAATGGAGCAGGACAGAGATGAGGCGGGGAAACCGTCGAATGACAACGGAACGGACGGCGTTGATCGTAGGAGAGGAAGCGATGGGGTAGGTAATATGCGCAAGTTAGCATATAGTAGTTGACTTGCGATGGGCATTGCGAAGACGACCGGTTTGATTTCCCTTGGGTTTTATACGGATACGGCAGTGTAGGGAGAGACTGGTAGAGTGTATACTGGCGGTGGGTTCCAACTTCCAAGAGTTTCATGTGGAAATTATGGTAAAGTACCGGTTTGATTTGTTATGCTGTTTCCATCTTCATATTATTAAGGGTCTGTTTGCAACAGCTTCTACTTTTAAAAAAGTGCTTTTTTTAATGAAATTGGGAGAAATGATTAAATAAAAGTTGATAATGTTTGAGAAAAAAGTGATTTTGGAAAGTAAAAGTGGGTAGTTTTTGGTGAAATAAGTGTTTTTTGTGTAATAGAAAAAGTAAAAGCACTTTTGACGCGGAAGCCGAGAAAAATAAAAGTTGTAGTGTTTGGGAAAATAAGTGTTTTTTAAAGCCAAAAACTGAGAAGTGCTTTTTTAAAATGAGTTGCAAACCAACCCTAAGTCCTTTGGTACCTCTTTGCTTTCGCGTACCACTCTTTCTATTAGAGAGTGGAACTTCTCACTCATGTTACCAAATATTGTAGTATGGTAGATGCATTACAATATTTTATTTTGACTAGGATTGATATTACTTATGATGTACATTTGGTTTCCTAGTTTATGCATGCTCCACGTAGCACTCACCTTTTGGTTGTGAATCGTATTTACAGATATTTGCAGGGTACTACAGAGTATGAGTTATGACTTTAGGCTAATCGTGATATCTCTCTCATTGTTGCCTATTTTGATGCTGATTGGGCTGGTTGTCTGGATAGCAGTCGTTCCACTACTGGTTATGCTATTTTCCTCGGTCCAAATCGAATTTCTTGGCCGTCAAAGAAGCAGCCCACAATTTCCAAATCCTCTACTGAAGCTGAGTACCGTGTCATTGCTTACACCGTCCAGGACACTCTTTTCATGCATTCCCAGATTGCTGAGATGGGTATCACACTCTCTAGTCCAATTCAGCTTCGTTGTGATAATGTCTCTGCCTCTTATCTGGTTGTGAATCCTATTCAGCACAATCGTAGCAAACATGTAAAAATTGATCATCACTTTGTCAGAGAACATGTTTTTCACGGAAATCTTGTGGTCTAATATGTTCCTACTCAATTACAATGAGCTGACACTTTTACTAAAAATTTATCTAGTTAGCGTTTTAAGTTTTTGCGTTTCAATCTGCGCGTTGTTTTTCCCTACACAGATTGACGGGATGTGATAATCTATGAGTTTTTGCTACTTTTAGTCTTTCGACTATTATGTCACCGACATTTTTAGTACTCGGCTTTGAGTTTTTCCACTTTTAGTCCTTCGACTATTTTGCGACAAACACTTTTGATACCTGTCTTTGAAAATTTTCACATTTAGTCTTTCGACTTTCATAAAAGTGACACTTTTGGTCCTTCAACTATTATAATTGTGACATTTTTAATCTTCTACTTAATTATTATATCAAATTCATAGTGGGGGGACTAAAAGTGTCAATTTTATAATACTGAGGGACTAAATGCGGAAAACATTGAAATTGAGAACTAAAAGTGTCTTTTGCACTGTAATAGTCGAATTCTAAAAATGGAAAAATTGAAAGTTGAGTACCAAAAGTGTCACTGACTCAATAGTTGAGGGACTGAAAAGGGAAAAAAACTCAATAATCTATAATATCGGGATATATTTATAATTTCCTTATTATCTATTTATTATAAGAGACCATTTGGTAACACGAAAATCGGTTGTTTTGGCTGATTCTGTTAAAATTTATGAAGTTCTGGCTGAAGTGGCTGCATTGGTTGATTCCGCTTATTTAAGAAAAACTTGTTTTTAATACGTAGTATATATTTTAGGGAAAATCGCACATTTTATTAATAAAATAAAGAAAAAATTATATGTAAAAATAGCTAAAATGATCATCTACAGTAACTTCAGCCAAAATAGCCAGAAAAGTAACTCCAACCTTACTTTTTCTGCTTATTACACAATTCAGCGCGTGAAAGTAAAAGATACGTATTTGGTGGAAAAGTTGGCTGATAAGCCTGATAAACTGAAAAATAGTGGTGCCAAACGGCCTCTAAATATATCATCAGGACACCCTATTACGGTCACCCTATTAGGGTGAATTGAACCATTATTCCATAATCACATATTTTCTACAAGTCCATTTATTCAGTATTTTAACATTCATCATAGTCAACTTTTGCTTTGTTTAGGATGATTAATGCTAATGATACTGGCAAAATATAATAAGAGTGGTAAATGGCGTGTACAGTGAGTACAGAACTACAGATCGTTTTCTTCATATATGAACTAAAACTAAAAAACAAGAATGAGCTGATCAAACGGAATGAAGAGAACATCATGCTAAGCTATGACCTATGGGGGTGGGTACATACACTCGGATTCAAGGCAGCGAGCTAGAATAGGGCCTAACTGGTGTGTTTGTGTGTATTAAGCTTATTACTTTCCAGAAGCTCTTGCTAGGATTGAAGCAGCTCTAGCTAGACTACTAGAGTACTAGCTAGTTGATCAAATAAACTTACACTACAAAAAAACAGAGATTGACAATGATTTTTGGCAGGGCTTTCCCAAAATTGGCAGGGACATGCCAATCCGTGCCAAAAACAGTTTGACACGAGTTATTTGACACTAAATTTTCGGTAAATCCACGTCAAATCAATGTCAATCCTGTAATTTTTTTGTAGTGTTAAAAAGCTCAAAACTCCCACCATTCCGAAGGCTCACGCCCACACGATGAGTCATCAAAAGGGCTGTTTAAGCTGCTTCGACTGCGACTGCACCACTGATCAGGTGAGGCAAAAGGGTCGCCGCCGCCTAGCTCCTCCAGATTCAAGAACTCCGCTTCCTCCTCCTCCTTCATTTGGTTATTCATATCCTCTGCTGCAAATTCATGACTTGTTCCTCTACTTAAGCACACCAGATACTCAAAATCTTCATTTTTGTTGTCCGAGTCAATATACCTCCTCTCCCCGCCTTGTGTATCTTGTCTTTTTCTATGCCCTGCTCCATTCCTCTCGAGCTCCCATCTTAATTTCTCTGACTATTGATCAAGATGCATGATGGTAAGATAAATTTTAAATGATTTTTTCCAAAAGGAATCAAATTATAAATTAAAATATACGTAAGGAATTTTTTCCATTTTTCACCCGTCTCATTAAGTTTGTCTCACATGATGAGCCCGTTTGGAGAATTCTGTTTTCGGCTTATCAGGCTTATCAGCCAGCTTTTTCACCAAACACGTAACTTTTACTTTCGCGCGCTGAATTGTGTAATAAGCCGAAAAAGTAAGGTTGGAGTTACTTTTCTGGCTGTATTGGCTGAAGTTACTGTAGAGGACCATTTTAGCTATTTTTACATATAATTTTTTCTTTAATTTATTAATAAAATATATTTTTAAAATATTTTTTTCTTAAATCAACAGAATCAGCCAAAACAGCCACTCCAGCCAGAATATCATAAATTTCAGCAGAATCAGCCAAAACAGCCGATTTTGGTGCTACCAAACGGGCTCGATATCGACTAATATTTATATTTTTGCAATTCATTCTTATTGTATTCATATTTTGTTAATTCTAGAGCAATCACATAATTCAATTCTTTTTAAATAACGCATTATAGTTCGGGGCGGAGATAGTAACACTTTTTAAATTAAGAGAAAAAGGTCAAATAAGGTCTTGTATTATTATGAAATCATCACATAAGACCATGTACTCAATAAAGTATCATATAGATATGTCTACTTATAAAAAGCAATCAGATGAGTCCTAGTGAACTTTTGACAACCTTGTAATTCCGGCTTTAGCATACCTCTAGCTACCTTTTCAAAATAGATTATAAGACTGACATGGACTATTTAGTCATGATTGGCTTAAATACAAAATAAAAATAACGACATGTAAGTAGATGTATTTAACGGTTAAGGAGGTTGTCAACGGATCGTTAGGATTCATTTGAAAACTTTTTATAAGTAGATGTATTTATATGACACTTTATTGAGTACATGATCCTATATGATGATTTAGTAGTAGTAGAAGATCTTATATGACCCTTTTTCCTTAAATTAATCCAAAACGAGACCTAATACAACACTTTTAGAGCATCTCCAATGCTAAAACGTTAACGGTGCATATGTGGCATGGAAAATAACCAATTAAAAAACAATAAGTACAATCTCTCTCTCCTTATTTGAAGGATCTTACCTCATTTTGGTAAGTTTTTCTTCACAATGTCAAACACAATGTCTAGATGTAGACATTGTGATTGACATTGCAGACAAAAACTTACCATAAACCCATAAGACCGTGGAAAGAAGAAGAAAGATATTGTATTTATTGTTTTTTAATTGGTTATTTCTCATGCCACGTATGCACCATTAACGTTTTAGCATTGGAAATGCTCTTACCTGTGGAACATACCAGTTCGGTTTGATAGAATTGAACTGTACAAAACTTCAACCAAATTATAAGTAATTTGATAACATTTGTTTCAAACTGTATGAAACTGTGAATAGAAATTGAGAAAAATCGGACCAAACTAAAAAGTTCAATAAATCCTTCGAAGTATTATTTAATTAAAAATAACAAATCCAAATTGAAACAAATTAATTGAACCAAACTCAAACATAATACTCTCTCTGTATTCTAAAGTTTGCTACATTTTCCTTTTTGGGATGTATTTAAAAGTTTGCTACACTTTCGCTTTTTGGTAAGTTTTTTCCTTTAAAAATACTTAACTACCCCTTACTTTACAACTTTTTATCTT